TAATAACCTCATAATATACAGGTAACACAATTCAATGTAATATACTGTTATATAACTTTGATACAAAGTAATACAATGTAATTGAAAGTAATACAATGACAACTTAATACTGTAATGGATGTCGGTTATAAATAATGTATTAATATGTTATCAGCAAGTTTTCTGTTATTTATTAATTATTATAATGATAATCACATATTGTCATAGTTTCTCTGCACAGTTTATCTTGACGCCTGCCTCGTTCTACCCTCAGGTAACCATTGAGAGAAAAGGTCCGCCTTACGGGAACTGCTCACACGTTGAAGATTTCAATACAATTTATGGTGATCACTATAACTACTCCTCTCTGGTGAGTCGTTATCTTGTTGCGGTTCCGAACCTCACCATGCTGTAACAAACGATATTTGAGACGCTGGTGGGGGCGTACTCACTGGATTGAGTAGACAAATTTTGATTGGTGTTAATCAATGGGTGATGAACGTACTACATTATTCTACATCCGGACTTGGACATGACATATCTATGCGCAGTTATAGTAGAAATAACGCCATATTCTAATAGTGACAACCCTGTAATCACATGCACTGTACTGTTATTGCCAGGTGTGCTTACTCGTTGTTTGCATTGTATTCTAATATTGCTATTCAAGTATTGAAAATTTACTATTCCCACTGTTTATGTAGGCTTGCCAGAAAACATGTCTGCATGATTTCATCGACCGTGAGTGTGAATGTGTGGATACATTATTGGTAAACAAGACAAGATGTAAATTACTTGATCGGGAACAAGGTACGACTAATCCATGGGATGTGAGTTGTGACATCGGGTTCAACTGTCCGCCTACCATCATTTGTGTAGTTTTACAAGTGACCAACATGCATTTATAGTCTACATAACGTAACTTTCTTTGCGGTTACAGTTGGTTAATAGAACAGCAATATGGTCGATAACATGTTTGTATTTTAATATTTGTGTTTTGTGCTGCATGTGAAGACCACATTGGATTATTATTCATTCTAAAATTGCGCATTCATAACAGTGTTCGCTCGACAAGAAATGGAATAAGCATTGTCTGCTGTTGTTGTAGTGCATTGTTTTATTCAAAAGTGGTGGCCGATGTACCGCTACCTGTTCAATATGGGACTCATAGCGACCTATACAACGCGTGTAAAATACATTTCCTTGGAATTCGAAAATGCGCGAAAATATTTTTCGTTTATAATAAATCATAAGCGGATTTATTCACCTATATGCAGTACTGAATAACAATAAACATCGTTAATACAATAATAATTACTGACTAGTTACGCTAATATAATCACATCTAATATATTCTCATTGTAATTTTCAGATATGTGTAAACAGTTAATGGCATACTTCTATCAGTCAGGCGTACTACCGTGTGAATGCAGTGTGCCATGCAGGTTAGAATGACCCCTATGATACCATATGTCCAATACCTTATCTGAATCAAAATGTATTGGATTGTCACCGTGTATGGTTATGAAAGTGTTATATTCATTATCGATTACTAATGTATGTATTGTCTTGTCGTGAATGTGTCTAGATTTTCATTGCTAGTACGGTAAACTCTGCAATAAACCATGTTGCAAGGTTTCTGACCTGAGGGTTGGGCCACGAATAATTGCTATTGAATTGGCACGGTTTGAATAAAAAACAGTGAAAAAACAAAAAATGATCAGATCGAGGCGTACAGTGGTTGCCATCTCAAGAACCTGTGTGTCGTCAGTGCAGATGGCATATGCATAAGACTCGTACATCAAGTGTTAGAAAATTCTGTACCTCGAAATTCATTTTAATTTTGTGCTGCATGGCTGGGTCCTCCTCATTTCTATTGCTAAGTAAACAACCGTATTTTTTCCAACAGCGAAAAGACATATGAGAGTACGATATCACAGTCGCTGTGGCCATCGAATAAGTACGTGGTAAGTTGAGTACGCTATCACAGTCACTGTGGCCATCGAATAAGTACGTGGTAAGTTGAGTACGCTATCACAGTCACTGTAGTTTTCTGATAAGTACGTGGTAAGTTGAGTATGCTATCACAGTCACTGTGGCCATCGAATAAGTACGTGGTAAGTTGAGTACGATATCACAGTCACTGTGGCCATCGATTAACTACGTGGTAAGTTGAATACGATATCACAGTCACTGTGGCCATGAATGAGTACGTGGTAAGTTGAGTACGATATCACAGTCACTGTGGTTTTCTAATAAGTATGTGTTAAGTTGAGTACGATATCACAGTCGCTGTAGCCATCCAATAACTACGTGCTAAGTTGAGTATTATATCAAAGTCACTGTGGCCATCAAATAAGTACGTGGTAAGTTGAGTACGATATCACAGTCCTTGTGGCCATCGAATAAGTACGTGGTAAGATGAGTACGATATCGCAGTCCCCGTGGTTTTCTGATAAGTACGTGGTAAGTTGAGTACATATCACAGTCACTGTGGCCATCGAATAAGTACGTAGTAAGTTGAGTACGATATCACAGTCACTGTGGTTTTCTTGTAAGAATGATGTAAGCTTAGTACGATATCACAGTCACTGTGGTTTTCTAATAAGTATGTGTTAAGTTGAGTACGATATCACAGTCGCTGTAGCCATCGAATAACTACGTGGTAAGTTGAGTACTATATCACAGTCACTGTGGCCATCGAATAAGTACGTGGTAAGTTGAGTACCATATCAAAATCAATGTGGCCATCAAATAAGTAAGTGGTAAGTTGAGTACGATATCACAGTCCTTGTGGCCATCGAATAAGTATGTGGTAAGCTGAGTACGATATCACAATCACTGTAGTATTCCGATAAGTACGTGGTAAGTTGAGTATGATAACACAGTCGCTGTGGCCATCGATTAACTACGTGGTAAGTTGAGTGCGATATCACAGTCACCGTGGCCTTCGAATAAGTACGTGGTAAGTTGAGTACGATATCACAGTCACTGTGGCCATCGAATAAGTACATGGTAAGTTGAGTACGATATCACAGTCCCCGTGGTTTTCTGATAAGTACGTGGTAAGTTGAGTACCATATCACAGTCAC